TGCCCAGGTGGGACGCGCCGCTGCCAGAGCTCCGGGCGGGCGCCGCTTCTCCCCGCTGCCAGCCCGCCGCGCCCAGCCTGCCCCGCCGGAGCTGAGCAGCAGGTGCGCGCAGAGCCGGAGGGAGGAGGGCCCAGCCCCGGCCACTTTCCTGACTCCAAACCCTGCTTCCTTAAGATCAGGACAAGTTAGTGAGCTTTATTTGTGCTGGGGGGCGGGGAGGGGGCGCTCCAAGCCATCTCACCAGCGCCCAGCTCGCTCAGGAAAATGCACAACGCAAGGCACCGTCGAGAAGAGGGAGCATCCTTTCTGCTGAATTTTATCGTGGGATTTTTCTCTCCCAGAAAAATATTACTTTACTTTAGGGACAACTAATGAATAGAAAGGAAAGAGTACATAAAATAGAAACTGTGCCCTGCTTTCTTTTGAAACCGATTTCCTCCAAAGAACTGTCTGCAATGTTTTAAAAAATAACTTTTATTTGAATAAAGTGCCTACCTAACGGGAGCTTTTTATTTGCTCGCATTTCGCTTTCTTTTTCTTTGATTGCTTTTGCTGTAGTGCAGATGGAACCCAGAGTCTCTCCAGACCAACGCTGTGCCTCTGAGCTGCACCCCCACATCTAGCGATATGCATTTTCTTTCCAAATGTATTACATTTCCTACATTTCCCTCTTTACTCACCAAAGTTTATCCTAGACATTTCTATTTTCTTTTGTGATCTTAAATCATTTTAATTAACACAATTTTTGAAAGAAATATTTTCTGTATCTGGGCACCTAAGACATCAAATTAAATTCAGAGACTAATGGTTTTGCTCATATGAGATCGCCATACAGAGAGATTTCCTTTTATTTCTTGGATAGGAAAGTAATAAAACTTAAAAAGAAAAGAAAAGAAAAGAAAACTGCTACAAAAATAATAAAGCACTTTGACAATTAAATGTAAAGGTTAAACATGAAATGGAAAAAATTAGTACATTGTAAGAATTGTATCTGATAAACCCTAATCACAGATTTATTTGACGGATATAGAGTGTAATCTTACTTCACTGTCCAAAGAAAACAGACTCTAAAGTAAAAAAGAATATCTTTCTTTGTGAGTTCATACAAATAAGTTCTCAGCATTGGAAAACTTCTTTGTTTTCTTTTCTGGGCAAGTCTGTCTTCCTTTAGCAGTTTAAAGAAATACTATGTACTTCTTCACTTTTTATGTTTTTAGTTCTTGATAGTTGGACATCAATAACCTTACAGCAAATTATACCCTCTGCCTTTCTTCCTGCTATAGGTTTTATTAGCAGTTTTGTAGCAACTCACTCATCAATCCCCCCTCCCCACCCCCAGTCTTCTCTAGGCTGTGTCCTCAAAGGCAAGCCTCTACACAGACACTTCTGTCATGCCCTAAGTGTCTAGAATAGTTCCAGAAAGATGTAAAGAAAAATGGTCCACTGACTAGTTCATTTTCCAGAATAAAACATGAAATGAAATGATAACAGAAAAGAGGATATGAGCTTTGGTTTAAGAGAAGTCAAAAGTGGGGCTGGAGAGATAGCTCAGAGGTTAAGAGCACTCTTGCAGAGGACCCAGGTTTGGTTCCCAGCACCCACATGGCAGCTAACAACCATCTGTAACTCTAGTTCCAGGGAGATGACTCAGCTGAAAAAGGACATTGAGTACCCTCCAGAGGCCCCAGGCTCAGTTCCCAGAACCCATGTCAGCATCTCACAATCAACTATAACTCCAGCTTCAGGGGACTGATGCCTTCTTCCGGCCTCCATGAGTGTACACACACACACACACACACACACACACACACACATACACACACACTTAAAACCTTTGAAAAAGAGATGAATAAAAAGCATAATGTCAGACATGTTCAAATACCAAATTTTTCACTCCCTTTTTTTCTTAAACACAGATAAAACCAAAACCAAAAATTGAAATAAAAGTTTAGGAATGGACTGGAGATGTACCTCAGGGATGGAACATTTGCCTATCATGTGCAAGACACAGGATTCTATCCCCAGCGCTGCCCTCACCTCGAAAGCTTAAATTTCACAGGGAGATTTGGGTTTTGAACTTAGACAGGATGTGGTCTAGTTTTGGTTCTTTGATCTCTGATGATCACCTCAGTGCCTTCATCTCAAACAGAACACTCTACTAGATGCCTGTAGGAAACCAGTGTAAATTGGGCACCAAGTGGGCCTAAATATCTATTGGTGCCCTAATCTTCACCCCACATCATATTTTAAGACTAAAGCCAAGTAAAAGACAGTTTTATTAGTGTGCAATGTTGGGGAAAGTTTTAGAAAGTTTTTTTTAAAAAAGAGGAAGAAAATCACATATAAGTGATCAGTACTTAAAGAAACATAAAATGGGAGCTTGTCTGCAGTAAATAACTGAAAGAAACTCACAGTATCAACTTCAGGTTCAGGGTCATGTTGTCTCAAAACTCTCAAGATAAGCCTTCTCCAGCAGGCCCTAGCAAACATACCAGCTTCCACAGGACCAGGCAAAGCAAAGAGAGGGAAACATTTAAAGTGATGATGTTCACATCCTTACTGGAAACTGATGCAGTCAGACTTAACAGTGACACTCTTTGTTTTCCATGCTGTGTGGATGTATGGAGGACAGAAATCATCCCAGCCATCATGTGGACAAATATAGGAAGCAATCAAGTGTTCCTTAAAAGACTTGCTGTCTTCTGAGGTGTTGTCTTTGGAAGTTATCCAAGATTGGCGAGATTACAGAGAGAAACTGGAGACCTAGCTATTCATCAGATTCCAAATACAGCCAATGTAAAGGACCTCCACCTGCATGGTCTCATTTGATCCTGTACAACTGTGAAGAAAATATCAGCACCTCCATCTTGCAGATGACAGACATATTAGACATGTAGTTAATTAGTGACAAAATGGACCTGGAAGTAAAATGATCCTTTCCAAAACACTACAAGGTTCTTCTATAGCTTAGAGCTTGTGGGAAGAGTAGTGAAAGATGATGGCAATGGAAAGCAAAGACAAGTAACATTAAGAAGCACTACACTAAATACTGAAATTTTTGCATGTTGAAATAAAAATAGCAGTAATTTCCTAAGAGGGTTGAATTTATTCAAAATGAAAATTTGGGGACTGGGGAGATGACTCAGCCAGTAAAGCACTTACTGTGCAAGCATGACAACCTGGAGTTTGGACCCCCAAGACCCACACAAAAGCTTGGCAGATGTGGTGGCTGCCCTCAATCCTAGCACTTGGGAGGTAGAATCAGGGTATCCCTGGAGCAAGCTGGTAACTAGACCAGTTGAATTGCAGAACTCTGGGTTCAATTGAGAGGCCCTGCCTTAAGAAATAAAGTGAAGAGCATCGGAGGAAAACCTCAATATCAACTTCAGGCTTCCATACACCCACACACATGTGAACATGCTACATATATACATGCACAAGGCACACATGTACATGCAAAAAATATGCTTTACATTTTTGTCCATGAAAGACGGATAAAGAGTTTCATTAAGAGTAGCTCAGCAGTTAAGAGTACTAGCTGCTCTTGCAGAGGACCTGGATTTGATTCTCAGCACCCACATGGTGGCTAACAACCATCCTTAACTCTAGTTCCAGGGGATGCAACGCCCTCTTCTGACCTCTTTGGGCATTGCACGACACGGGTGCACCTACCTACATGCAGGAATTACACTAATACACATAAAATGATAATAATAATAATACAATAAATCTTTTAAAAAAAGAGTAGCCAGGACACTATGAAGGACATAAGGGAATCTCTTGAGTTTGACAAATAAGACAGATAATTGACACAGTTTGGGGGCATTTGTCAGAGGCAGAATATTGTATGGATTTGATTTTTGTAACATATTTCATTGAATATCAGACATCTTTGACTGCAAGACATACTACTATTTTATGTCCTAAGACAAAAATAATCCAACTCACTACCAATTAACAATTAAACTATGAAGCATATTAATACACAGATTCTGGGAGTGACTTTAGTTTCAGAGTTGAATATCCTAGAATCAGTAAACTGTGAATGTATTGCCTGCATGTATGTAAGTGTGCCCTTAGAGGGTATTGAATTCCCCTGGAACTGGAGTTCCTTATAACACCAGGATCTAAGACAAATGGGACTGATTGCTTCGTGAGCTTGTCTTTTATTTTGAGCATGATTTTTCTTAAAAAGCAATGACTCCGCTCCAAATATAACATTTCATGTAAGTTGTCTAAAAATAAAGTGCATTGAACTCCCCTCCCCCAAAAAATGGTTGTTAGCCATTGTGTGGGTGCTGTGATTCAAACCTGGGTCCTCTGCAAGAGTAATAAGTGCTTTTCACTGCTGAGACACCTCTCCAGCCCCTAGCTGTTACTTTTAAAAGGAAAACTTTATGGACACTGAAACTCAAAGTTTATTTAATTTTCACATGACACAAAACAATATTCTTCTTTTGGTTTTTTTTCCTTACCATGTAAAAATGTTCTTAGCTCATGGGCCATAAAAAAAATAGGCTTAATTTGCCTATGATTGAGCTAAAGGATTATATTTATAAAATCAGCTTTGCATTTGCCTTATAAATTCCTCAAAGCCCTTTATTTTATAACAGAGCTTCTGACCACTGAGAAATTCAATACTTTACACGAGCCAAGCATTGTGGCATAAGCCTGTAATCTTAGCACTTAGGAGCTGAAGGCAGCAAGACTCGGAGTTCAAGTTTCTCTTTCACTACATAGTGAGTTCAGTGCCAGCCTGGGCTACAGAAGACTCTGTCTTAAAAATAAATAAATAAAAAGCAAGCAACATACAAGACCAGACAGCTAGTGACATATCCTGATTCCCATGTCAGATTTTTTTATCAGGTCAATAACTACTATGACTGATACATAGCTTTC